GAGACCCCTAAATAAGGACTTGCATGTTCCAGAGTGGGCAAACCAGACAATCTCCACATCAACACTGACAAAGAAACAGCAAGAAATACTGTTTACCCACAAGTATAAAGAAATTACATATATTAGAAACCAACACTTCCTAATTCCTTTATTTCCAGATCACCAGACTGGGCCACAGCAATGCGTGACAAGGGACGGCTAGTAATAATAATAATAATAATAATAATAATAATAATAATAAACTTTATTTATAACACGCCACCATCTCCCCAAGGGGACTCAGAGCGGCTTACATGACGCCAAGCCCAACAACACATCAGTAAAAACAACAAGCAATAAGTAAATAAGCACTACAGTTAACATAACTCACATATAGACAATAACACACAAAGATTTAAAAACCTATGGCCGGGCCAGATGTAATAGTTAAAATCTTAAAAATAAACACTGGGCATGAACAGAGGTAGGATGTATCTAGTAGGAAGGTTTTAAACGAAATGTAGGGAGAGCAACCCAACAGGTAATTAAAGTACTTCTCAGGACATTTTGCAGGGGATTGCTTCCTTTATTCAGGGGAAAATGCACACTTGTATTGCATTTTTTAACAAACAAACAAACAAAACACAAAGTTTGCAAGCTTGGTAGTTGATTAAATGTCCTTTGACCAGTAGTTGGCTACTTGGAGTGCTTCTGGTGTTGTCGCAAGAAGGTTCTCCATTGTGCATGTAGCAGGGCTCAGGTTGCATTGCAGCAGGTGGTCAGTGGTTTGCTCTTCTCCACACTCGCATGTCATGGATTCCACTTTGTAGCCCCATTTCTTAAGGTTGGCTCTGTATCTCGTGGTGCCAGAGCACAGTCTGTTCAGCACCTTCCAAGTCACCCAGTCTTCTGTGTGCCCAGGGGGGAGTCTCTCATTTGGTATCAGCCATTGACTGAGGTTCTGAGTTTGAGCCTGCCACTTTTGGACTCTCGCTTGCTGAGGTGTTCCAGCGAGTGTCTCTGTAGATCTTAGAAAACTATTTCTTGATTTAAGTCGTTGACGTGCTGCCTGATACCCAAACAGGGGATGAGCTGGAGATGTCACTGCCTTGGTCCTTTCACTATTGGCTGCTACTTCACGGCGGATGTTAGGTGGTGCAATACCAGCTAAACAGTGTAATTTCTCCAGCTTCCCATGAAGGGACATGAGAGAAGCCTCCCACAGGATAATAATAATAATAATAATAATAATCATCATCATCATCTTTATTTATACCCCGCCACCATCTCCCCAAAGGGGACTCGGGGCCCAGAAATACATTACAGAAATATATAATAAAATAAGACCAAAACAACAGAACTAACATCACAATAAAATAGATAAAGCATAGGAATACAATAAAACAAAGCAAAATAAAACAGAACAAGATAATGCAATGAGAAATCAATCACAATGATTGATTTCTCATGTACAACATAAAATGATAAAACTCTGGATGAGAAAAAGAAAAAAAAGTGTTTGTGAGGGAATAAACTTGTAGGAAGCAGAATACTGAAGACAGGCTTTCACACAGGTGGATGGTAAAACATCTGGGCGTCCCCTGAGCAACGTCCTTGCAGACCGGCAATTCTCTCACACAAGAAGCAACTTGCAGTTTCTCAAGTTGCCCCTGGCAGGAAAAAAAATAGGAAGGTTGCCTATAATATTTTTTACATACAGTTCTGCGCTTTTTAGTTTTTACCCAGTTTGGATCCCCAAATGTTATTGAACAACACTCCCATCCCTTCTGATTATTATCCAGCAAGTGGACTGGGGCAAATGGGGATTGTAATGCAACAGCACTTATGGAAAAGGGAAAAGGTTAAATGAAAATTTAAAGTCCTACATCATTCCCACAAGCCTTGCATCTACGAAGGTTGAATGAAAAGTAATGCCTCAACCTAGGTAACTCCTCAACAGATGGCAGTACTGGTATGTGGCAGGTACTAGCTTGTTCAGTAGCTTCTCCTCTACAGTTCCATTTTGGTGGAAATCCTTAGCATTGAATGATTGTGTTGTTAAAGTTTGAAGTATGGAACCCTGCACAGACAGTCGGTCAATCTGACTTAAACAATGTGCAGTCATTGAATTCTTGACAGCAGAAGGTATCACCCCAAAGGAGATTCATCAGAGAATGCAAGCTATTTATGGTGATTGTGTTGATGTGAGTACTGTGTGTCATTGGGCAAGTAAGTTTAAAGATGTTGAAGTGGGAACATCTGACTTGCATAACAAACAAAGAGTTGGACGTCCTGTGACAGCAACCACTGAGTTTCACAAGCAAAAGGTTGACAGATTGATTCAGAATGGTCGTTGTATCACCCAGAGAGAAATTTCAAGCATAATCGGCATTTCACAAGAAGGTGTGGGTAACATTATTGCTTTGCTTGGCTATAGGAAGATCTGTGCACAARGGGTACCCAGGATGCTGACGCCTGAAATGAAAGRGCACAGACTTGAAATTTGCCAGGAACTGTGACGGCTTCAGAAAACTTGTTCATTGTTGGCAAAATATATATCCAATTGTCTGGTGATTATGTGGAAAAGTGAATAGTGGCAGTTAAATAGTATATTCTAAGGATTATTTCTTCATTTGATTTATTAAAATATTCCCATCCAAACCCAAGTAATGAAGGTGGAGGCATTACTTTTCATTCAACCCTCYTAAATTTCGAATCCCACTCTCCTGACTGAACAGAACAAACTGCAAACATGTGTTGTTCTATCACAACTCCCGTTCATTCTAGTCATGATGTTGAATGATGAGGAATACAGGAATTGTAGTCCAGCATCTGGAGGGCTGAATAAAATGCCTTGAGTTTGACACATGTGATGTAGGTCATTTTCTGGCCTTTTATAGAGACAGGAAAGCTGCTCTGTTCTTTAGGGTGGGAAGCAGAGCACAATCTGTATTTTATAGTGGTCTACTAGAGATTCAGCGATCTGCCATATAGCAGGCAGGAGAGGAATGCCACGAGAGTCAACAGGAAGGGAAACTCCCCTCTTGGTTGCTTCCTGTTGTCACTGCAGGTCTTTTAAGTTCCTTCACCTCATTTTTGAACCAACCACCAAGATTGATATTGAAGAAAGTAGTTTTGTTGTGCAGATGATGACTTCGGGTCCTTCCAGACAGGCTCTATATCCCAGGATCTGATCCTAAATTTTCTGCTTTAAACTGGATTATATGAGTCCACATTGCTAGATAATCAAGTGCCCCTTCCATACAGCTGTATAAAATCCCACATTATCTGCTTTGAACCGGAATATATCGCAGTGTGGACTCAGATAACCCAATTCAAAGCAGGTGTTGTGCATTATCTGCCTTGATATTCTGGATTATATGGCTGTATGGAAGGGCCCTGGGATAAACAGAAAGCCTGGGATCATATGCCGGGATATAGAGTCTGTCTGGAAGGACTCTTAGGAACTCCTGGAACCAATTTGAAGCTCAGGTGGTGATGACACAAACCACAGATAACTGATGCACATTAAGGACTTTATTTAGCACACTTTTCTAGCTTCAAACTGCATTAAAGGGCCAGTGTAGATCAGGCCTCAGTTTCCCCTTCCAGCTGCAAGGCCATTCGATGCTAATCAAGCCGGCCAATTGCAAAATTTATACTTGCCTCAAGCAGACAAGAGTTTTTTTCTCTCACCCTGGATGTTCCATAGATATATAAACCTGAGCTGCCTAGTTGAATGGTTTTATTTTACTGAATATTGGTTGCAATATTCATATAATGTATGTTTTATGTAATTGATTATGTTGTTTTTTATGTTTTAATTTTACTTGCTTCTGTGTTGTTGGGCTTGGCCTCGTGTAAGCCGCCCCGAGTCCCTGTTGGGGAGATGGTGGCGGGGTACAAATAAAGTTTATTATTGTATTGTCGAAGGCTTTCATGGCTGGAATCACTCAGTTCTTGTGGGTTTTTTCGGGCTATATGGCCATGTTCTAGAGGCATTTCTCCTGACGTTTCGCCTGCATCTATGGCAAGCATCCTCAGAGGCGAAACGTCAGGAGAAATGCCTCTAGAACATGGCCATATAGCCCGAAAAAACCCACAAGAACGGAAAGTTTATTATTTATTTATTATTCTTAGTTTCCAACAGACCTCACAACCTCTGAGAATGCCTATCATAGTTGTGGGTGAAATGTCAGGAGAGAATGCTTCTGGAACATGGCCGTGCAGCCTGGAAAACTCACAGCAACCCAGTAATTCTGGCCATGAAGGCCTTCGACCACACAACTAGAAAAATACTGGGTTGTCATACATCTTTATTTCTTTCTATAGAAACATCTCAAATGGTTCTAATGATTCTCAAAACCAAAACTATTGCTTTGAAACGTATGTATTAGAGGCAACCATTAAGAATATATCAAAACAAAATAAAAGATTTTTAAAAAGCACTGAAAACCAGCAAGATTTGAAACTGCACTGAAGAAGACGTTCTGGACAGGAGAGGGCAGTCTCATGATAGGAAAGAACAAAGTGGGTGCGTTGAAAAAACCTCTGTCATGGCTCAGAAGCATTTCTATTCTGATTGAGTTTTTAAATTGAATTGATGCTGGTCCTAGTTAAAAAGGATTAGGACCCTGTGGTTCCTTATTTAAGAAAATCATACAGTATTCCAGATGTGGCAGTGCCACTCGCAGTATTCCTCACTGCACAATACGCTGTGTAATGTACATTTGGAAGCCTGCATAATTCATCCCTGTTTAAGATGAATGAGCATAATAACGTGACGAAGCCACTCATGCTTGGGCAATGTGAAGCTCTGGGACCCAAGCTGTGCTTCCACATTTCTTTGGATTGTAATTCCCTTCACTTTGATCATTGTCAGGGCTGGTTGAAACTCATGGGAATCCTTTGGCTATCTAATGAACTGAGTCTTTTACTGTTGGGGATTAATTATTTATAGTTGCATTGTTGAATGACCTAATTCTTTTAATTTCACACTTTTTGTTTCTCCCTCCCTTCAGAATGAACGCCTGCTCATTAAAGGTGGACGAATTATCAATGATGACCACTCCTTCTATGCAGATGTCTACCTGGAAGATGGGCTTATAAAGTTAGTTTCAGAATTCTGTGTTTTTCCCCCCTTGGCATGTTGAGTGATGCAAAAAGTATTCTGCACTGGTTTCAGTGTTTAACGTCTCTTAAGCAATTGTGTCTAGCAATAGTTACAAGTTGTCTGTTGAGCTTTTACTGAGCTGCAGTGATGAGTTTATTAGAAGTACTGATGACATGGTCCTAAAGTTTCAGCCCGAATAGCTAACAACAACAACTTTATTCTTATACCCTGCCACTATCTCCCCAAAGAGACTCAGGGCAGCTTACATATGGTACAAAGTGCCCACAAGACAAAAACAAAACAATGTGATTAGGCAAAAACACAATTAAAATGAGAGGATAGTAAAATGTAACATTCCAAATAAAAACACAAATTAAAAAAGAACATAAATCAGCAGCATTGGAAATCCATGAAAACAATGCTCAACAAAAACCAATCACCAGTAATATTAAAATGGGCGTGACCAGGCTATAAAAAGGCGTCGGGTATGGGATAGTGCAAAGCAAAGCACAACAATAAGTAGTTAGCTACAAAGATCAGCTGTTGAGCTAAAGTCAGGAATCCTGAACCAGAATTCATTTTAGTGCCTCTGAGCATATGTAGAATATTTTTTGCACAACTGTGAGGAGGCAATCATACTATTCACTTCCTCACTCCTGACAAGAAGTGTTCTTGACAAAGATCAGTGATAGAACATGTGTTTCTCATATAGCTGAGTGGGACACCTCATGTCCTCCCATTGCTGCCAATATCTTTCTTTTTAAAAATATACTTTTAATATCCTCAGGTAAGGAAGAGAGGAGAAAATGAAGTAAAGGGCCTGATATTATGTGAAAGCCATAATTATTTTGTGGATTAGATAAACAAGTCATGTTCCCTTTGCTATTTCATTTCATATCAGCACTTTTTTCCCCTTTCAATTCTTTGTTAATTACTTCCCAATCCTATATATTTCATTGCTTCCCAGCTGTGCTTCAGCTGAGATTTCAGAATTTTCTTTGACAGTAATAAGGTAGCAAGCAAATTACCTTGCCTACTGACAGAACCCAAGGGCCTAAAGCAGGCACGGGCAAACATCAGCCCTCCAGGTGTTTTGGACTTCAACTCCCAGAAATCCCAGTGAGTATACTGGCTGTTAGGAATAGTGGGAGTTGGAGTCCGAAGTTTGCCCATGCCTGGTCTAAAGGCACCAGATCCCATGTGATCTTGGAGGCTAAGCAAAATTAGTCCTAGTACCCATACATCACACTGATGGAGCTATGTGGTGCATTTTCAATCCAATACTAAACTTTCTCCTTAGGTCCCTCTGTTTTACTGACTCTGCTCCCAATTAATTAGCTCATAGAAGCATGAGATTAACATCTGTGTTACACGGGGAATCTATTGAAATGCCAAAACTCTAGGGAACATCTAGAAAAATTAATAACTGAATTAATTTGTCATCTCCAAGAGTTTCTACCAGTGAAATGGAGACTGAGGGGCTCTGATGAAAAGGAGGACAAATGGAGTGTGGTAGTTTTGCTGCTCATATTGGTGTAGTGTGTCCTTTTAATTCTGGGAATAGGAGAGGAAGGGGAAAAAGGCATGCTCTCACCCTGTCTTTAATTAACCAGCCTTCCAGCACAATGTAGTGGCTGACATTATTTGTGTGATCACTTGCTGCTAAGTAGAAGTTGTAAAGTATCCAACCAAAGCAGGGAAGAGACAGGCTATATACCATTTACAGGCTGAACTACTGCTAACAGAGTATTGGCTGCTAGAAAAACACTGGCTACTCTGAGAATGATATGCTGTTAGAATGGATAGCCTTTCTTTAAAAAAAAGGTTTCAAAAATATGTACACATTTCAGGATTCCCCTGAGCATAGTGAGGCTTCCTTTGCTTCTCAGTGATACTTTTTTTGGTATTCATGATTTAATATATTTTATAAATAGGATTAACATTATTTCTACATGTATAATTTCAGCATATTTTCCTTATATCAGTTTCATCATTTGTATAGTATTACAAGTCCTTATTTTGAAAAGGATGAGAACTTTCTTTTTCCAGTATCAAATTGTTTATTCTCTAGTCCTAAATCTGCTTTTCCGTATCAGTCTTTTTTCTAATTTATGTTAGATTTCCTGTATCTTCAGACCATAAATCGGACAGATTATGAATACTTCATTTTGTGAACATTGGATTTCCCCTTGAAACATTTTATTGCATAAATATTACTTTCATTCACATTTTTAAAAGGAAAAGTTGTAATCTCAGCTCTAACTATTATCATGTATTTTTGTTCCCAGTTAGACGTATTTCTTGGGAGGCTTATAAACAGAGGCTGGACTGTGCTTTTCTAGCATGGCAGGGGGTTGGACTACATGGCCCGTATGGTCTTTTCCAATTCTGTGATTCTGATTCTATATATTTATTTGATCAATTTGCTATTTTGCAAGTTTTTTCCCATCCTTTCAGTGTTGAACATTTGTGTTGCAAGGATGCATTAACCCATAGACAAAGAACTTTCAGTAAGGTGCTTTTAATATTTTAGACACATTTCTAATTATGTACTAATTATATGTTTGTTAACTTTAGGGATAACCACTGGTATTCAAAATGTGTGTATAGAGTTCCATGTTGGACAATCTTTCATGTAAATGTAATGTTTTAATGCAATGGAATGTTGGTTTCCAAGCAGTTGTTGGGATGGATCAATAAATCGTGCTTCTGATAAACAACTCTCAAGTGCAGCAGTGTTTACATTTTTAAAGGGTTTGGTGTAGGGCAGGGAAGCATCGTCTGCCCGTGTCTACTCGGGCCAGTTAAATTTTCCATTGCCCATCGTCAAGCCCTTGTTCTCTGAAGGAAGGAGGTTTTTCTAAACATTGTTTAAAGGAATTCCTTCTGTTGGGTTCGGTCCAGAGATGAGCCAGTTGCCAAAGGTGGATGGGTATTGAAATAAAGCATCCAAGTCCTTTTGTTCAGTGTTTAGCCCACAAGTTTACAGTCCTTTCACATGCAAATCTGTTTCTGATCTCTTTGCGATCTGTTTTAGAGACATGGGGCTCATTTTGTATAACTTTTGGAAGACATAACTTTATGTAATACTGTACAGAAGTTGATTATAAATTGTATGATTTTAACTGTATTTGTGTTTAGATTGGCTGCACTAATGCTGGAGCGGCCTAACTGAGAGGAGTGCGTTGCCATGGAGACGATGTAGGCTAGAGAGAGAAGTGGGAGGAGCTTAGAGGGGAGAGTTTGAAAAACGACAGTTTATGTTCAGTTAGGTTTTAGGTTCCGAGGAGTGAGGAGTTAGGGTTTAGCAGTGAGGAGTTAGAGTGAGGAGTTGAGAGAGAAGGAGAGGAAAAGGTGGCTGAGTGACTTGTGAAGCAAAGTTTCGAGGCTTTGGAAAGCCGGGTCTGGCTATTGAAAGTTTCTCTGGCTAGGGTAGCCGAAAGGGGGAAACATAGCCGGAATTCTTTAGTCCAAGGAGAGGCTAAAGAATAGCTTATTTAGAATTTGATCTAGGAAGGATCAAATAAGGGAAATATCCCTGTATTGATACTTTGTCTGAAGCAAGCGCTCTACGTCAGGAAGATACTGTGTTACTTTAAAGAATGAACTGTTAAACTTACAAGCATTGTTCTAAGTTCTATAAGAAAAGTTACAACTTGCAACCACACGCTTTGTGCTCAATAAACTTGTTAACTTTTGTTTGAAGACTGCCTCACCTCCATCAATTCTGCATCCAGTGTGCCATTTCTCACAATATTATAACTTACCTCACGTGGTGGCAGAAACGCAGGGGAAAGTGACCAAATAGATATACATTCTTATCTCCAGTCACGCTACAATACATACCGTTTAATTACTACTAAGTTATTACTATCTTAATAAAAGAAGAGGTGCGATTGAACAGCCTCCCTTCTAACTTGATGGTAAATTTGGTTCCTTTCAAATTGGTAACAACAATAATCATCCCTAGGCTCCCCTGCTCCTGTGCAAATACTATGTTAAGACTAAAGCTGTTGTTTATATTTGTAATTTACAAAGTTGCTATTAGTTTTTTTCTGTGCAGAATGATGTATAAATCATTTCTTTTTCTTATTAGACAAATAGGAGAGAATTTAATTGTTCCTGGTGGAGTAAAAACGATTGAAACCAATGGTCTAATGGTTATCCCTGGAGGTATCGATGTGAATACATATCTGCAGAAGCCCTCTCAAGGCATGACAGCTCTTGATGATTTCTACCTAGGCACAAAAGCAGCTTTAGCAGGAGGCACTACTATGATCAGTAAGTATTTGAAGGAATATTTCATTTATAATGTGGAAAACGGGAATAAATCAATTTGTAGTAGCATTATGGAAGCGTTTGTTCTCATTTTCTGTGCAAGAAACTGGATCTAACAATATATGCAAAGATGTTGTCTAGGGTAGGAATAGCCACCTTTGGCAAGTTTCCAAAGGCCTTTCTCCAGTGCCTTTCAAAGAAATGTTTGTTATTTCATGGACACTGTTTCTTGGGCACCTGCAGTTAAGATCATTTTTGAAGCAATGTCTTCATTTTCTTTGCAGTTGATCATGTCCTTCCTGAACCTAGTTCCAGTTTACTAACTTCTTTTGAAAAGTGGCACGAGGCAGCAGACACCAAATCCTGTTGCGATTATTCTCTCCATGTGGACATCACCAACTGGTATGATGGGATCAGAGAAGAGCTAGATATATTGGTGCAAGATAAAGGTTAGTTAAAAAAATAGAGAATGTGTTTAGTGCTGGTAAAGGATTGAACTAATTTAACTAATGTTTTATCATTAAGACAGATCCATGTTTAATAGACTAGAATGTTTTATTTATCTTACCTCCTAAATCTGAATTCGGATGTCCAAAGCATCTAAAAGGTATTGGATTACGGAGGCATCCTTCCTTACATAATTGACTGAAGTCTGTTTGGCATATGTAATGTTGAATGAAAATGTTTGTGTATTATTTTGAAGGTATGAGTGTTCAGTTATGTTTAAAATGACACTGAAAGCATGTTAGCTTATATGAATTATCTCTTTTTTATATACAGGCGTTAATTCTTTCCAAGTTTACATGGGCTACAAAGATCTCTACCAAATGACTGACGGCCAGGTAATCTCCTTCATAACTTTTTCTAAGAACCTTTCTGCATTACACTAGCTCTTTTAATCCTGATGCATTCTTTTATACTCATCTTAAACAGGAGAATAGTGAAGAGCATTATAATGCATGTACCATTCCTATTTCTGAAAGCAGAAAATGTCATTGATATCAGTCAGTTGTTAGATTTTCCATCGTAAGGTTTGACTGGGTATAAATTGTATTTTGAGTTGAAATTTTTGATTAATGTATTATTTATAATATGTTAAAAGATATATAATTAACCCATGATTTATTGAGAGGTAAATGATTTTACAAATGTGTTAGTTAAACCAAAGTTAGCACTATCATATGGTGGCTCAAACCTAAACAACAAAACTTCAACCCAGAAATTAACATATGTGCTCTATAGTTGAGAATGTTGTCATACAGTGGCTACATCTATATCAGGCAAAATATTCTGGAGTATGCTACTTCAGAGCTGTGAGTCCAAAGAGAATGTTTGTTGTTGCTGATACTTTCTCTTTTTATTGTATGTAGCTTTATGAAGCCTTTACTTTTCTGAAAAGTCTTGGGTGTGTTGTCATGGTTCATGCTGAAAATGGAGATTTGATAGCTCAGGTAAGAGAAATATTCTTGTTTTATGTTCCTGTTGACATAAATGGATCAGTTGTTCAGTGTGTCCACATGGGTACACCTTCTGGAGTGGCAACATGGTGAATGTCTGTCCACTCAATTCATGGGTTGTCATTCTGCAGGTGACTACTGCAGTCTCATAAAAATTTACATCTAGTATTAGTCATTTGAATCAATTGTAAAAAATAGATTGTTATACATTATTTAACAATCTAAATAATGAAGTGAATAACAGAACCTTCATTGGTGTTTTGAACATTAAGAATAAATACGTAATTCATTATTTTGGTCAGAGTATCTTGGGGCCCTTCCACACAGCCCTATATCCCAGAATATCAGGGCAAAAAATCCCATAATATCTGCTTTGAACTGGGTTATCTGAGTCCACATTCAGATAATGTCGAATTTTCTGCCTTGATATTCTGAGATATTGGGCTGTGTGGAAGGGCCCTTAGTCGCAAAATCCTTCCTGAAATAATTATGTGTTTAACTGTGAATTTTATTTAAATTTAGCCATATATTCAGGTCGCTGTTTCATATGAAATAAATAAATAAATACATGTAAAAGCGCATGAAATAAATAAATAAGTATGTCAATTCCACAAAAGTATTGAAAAAGTGCAAAATTTGTGATAGGGCACAACATTTGGTTTTGGGTGTAGTATTCACCGTAAAATGCTTCTAAAATATCAGCTTTCTTTAAATGAAACAATTCTAATGCTTGGAATTGACACTCAACAGAATTGATCTGTTGATACATTTGACCTTGGATTTAATGCTTTTTCACCATTTTTGGATCTTTGTTCATGTGAGAATAATAATAATAATAATTTGTATTCTGCTTTAATACTCTCAAGAGACCCAAAGCAGCTACCTTGTATGTGTGCATCAAGCTGCCTGTCAATTTATGGTGATCCCATTAAATTAATGAGGTTTTATTTGTGAAGGAATACTCAGAAGTGTTTTTGCCAGTACCTTCCTTTAAAATAATGCCTATTGCCAGTGAACAGCATCTGGTAGTTGTTGACAATATCCCTTCCAGGTCAGACACACTTCAGCAATTACACACCATTCGTGCTCTACTAGCTACCGAGTATAAGCCAAATATAAACCGAGGGACCTAATTTTACAACAAAAAACTGGGAAAATGCCTGGACTGGAGTATAAGCTGAGGTTGGGAAATACAGCAGTTACTGATAATTGTCAAAATAAAAAAACAGATACCAATAAAATTACATTAATTGAAGCATTAGTAAGTTAAATGTTTTTGAATATTTACATAAAACTGTAATTTACAAGGTACTGTAAATTACAGTTTTGTGTAATATTCAAAAAACATATAGATTACTCTAAACTTGTAGGGAATAATGATGGATTTTGTTTTCTTTCAATCAGTCCCAACTGGGGATGAATTGCCTGGCTTTTTTTTGGGGGGGGGGGGCGTTGTTCCTGTGTCAGTCCCAGTTGGGACTGATTGAAATGATTTGCTCCAGTTCTGAACTGGGCTGAGCTGTCCTTCTTTCTTTGTGCTTGAATTATCCAATTCACTTTGGTATTTATCTAACCACCTACTTGCCCTTTCCAATATAGATTACTCTAAACCTGTAGGGAATAATGATGTATTTTGTTTTCTTTTCAGGAACAAAAACGCATGTTGGAAATGGGAATTACTGGACCTGAAGGACATGCCTTAAGCAGACCTGAAGAGGTGAGCGTTCCAGTCTGTTCAAGTATTAAAGCAGCTGCATGTTGAAATGAACATCCCCACCCCCTGTGCTTTTTTTTAAAAAAAAGACAACACCTCAGAGACAGAAATTGAAATCAGTCAGCACTTCACAGCTTTTGTTTCTGTTAAAACGTGCCTTATGTAGCATGTCTTGCTAAAATTTAAGCTAAAACCTTTAACTGTTGGTTTTTGTGAGAATGTAGAAATACATAGCTGTACCATGTGCTTTATGATGTACCAAGCTCATAAACTTGCTTCAAAAGCTCTATGCACTATAAGATATTCCTGCTTTTGCAGTTGTTTGACAGGCATTTAATATGGTGAGAAATGTTTTCAGCTCAGGGGTCACGTCCCCTTCCAGAGATTCTTGTGAGGTAGAGGAGAGTTTGGGGCCAAAGCTAAATTGTGGTTTTGACACCTTCTATACTTGAAATTCATTTATTAAACTGTTAATTGGCAAGCTGTTTCTAGCCATTTCACCAACATTTCTAAATCCAACATCAAACTTAGTGAATTACAAGTCAGAATTCTCTCTCTCTCTCTCACTCACACACACGCATTCAGTAAAACTTAAAGGGATGTTGCCTCAGGAGAAGATAAAAATGGAATTAAAGGAAATGCATCACACAGTGAGCTATTCATTCATTCATCCATTCAACTATTTAATGCATGTGATTGAATCTATGTTTCCCTTTCCTCTGCATAATAAATTCTGGAAAAACCTAAGGAATGTGAAAAAATAAGATCTGGTTATAACATGGTTCCATTTGATGAAAAGTAACTTCCCTTTATTGAACATGTTTATGCGCACTTGCAAAAGTTCTTGGCTCCATCACAGCATGTAGATTTATGGAAAGACGTTCTGTAAAATGTCTAGATATCATAGTTAATGGTAAGGTTAGTTGCAAACCGTTATTAATTAATATACTGAAAGATAATTTGTTATCTTGTTAGGTGTTTTTATTGTTGATATTTATTGAAATATTTTTTTATTGAAACAATAAAAAAAAATCTGGGAGAGCACGATCACCTCACTGAAGGATCCCATAACTTCCACTCCATTGACCAGTTTTTCACTGTCAGTTAGCATCCTAAATTTTTGGAACAATAAAATTGTCTGCAAAGCAAGAGAAGAACTGTACAGTCATGACAAGATACTTTCCTTTTTGACTGCTTTGTCATTTGTTCTAGAAAGTACCCCCACCCGCCCCGTGCATCATCTTTGTTTTCAGTCTGGTTTGGGAATCTGCAGTAGATGCACACAGCAATGGCTGTGATGTTTCCTTCCCCTTTAATTTCCCTCAGATATTCCCAAACCTGCTTTCCATACTTTAAGCCAGGGATATCTTCTCACAGATGTATCCATGCTCCTCCTCCTTTCTGGTTTAGACTAATTCTTTGGAGTAGATTATCGATAATTCTTTGAAATAGGCCTATAGTTCAATCATGAGATCATGTTTCAGTGACGCCTAACACTGAAATGTTGTGCAAATGGTCACATGCTCTCAAATCATTTCTGGTTGAGACTTCTCTGCCCTTGATGCTGCGACTGATGTTTGTCCACTTACTTACTGTATGTGTGGTGGATCTGTGTTTAATCTTACTTCAACTCTAGAAATGGGAGAGTGCTTTCCCAACACACTGAAGGCATTAGGGCTTGTTGAGGTAGCTGAGGACAGATCATAAAGGAACAAATGGAGTACAAAAGGAAAATCCAGAAGACTTTCACATTGCTCCTCAGTATCTGTTTCTTCAGATATAGCACCCTATTGTGCCCAGTGGTTTGGCCAGACCTTCAGGAGAGAAAACTATTTGAATCTTGGAAATATGTAAGTGAAGATTCTGTAACGTAATAAGAAAGTTGTTGTTGTTTTTATTTAAATATATTTTTGCTGTTGTTTCAGCTTGAGGCAGAAGCTGTTTTCCGTGCCATCACCATAGCGGGTCGGATTAACTGTCCACTTTATATCACGAAGGTCATGAGTAAGAGTGCAGCTGAGGTTATATCACTGGCCAGAAAGAAAGGTACGGAAATGTATAATTGTGAAGACAGGATCTGAATCGCCACCAAACCTCTAAATATATTAGGTTGCCTGTAAAATATAGAATCTATGTTCTTTGGACAATAGACTGATCCAGGATCTAGCTCTATTGTTGACTGCTTCAGTTACCATTCCAAATGAGAGGCTGTTTCTTTATCAGCACAGACCAAATAACCTTTATTGGCTGTTTCATCTATTCTATTTTAAATGTTTATCAAATTTATTTATATATTTGTTAACAATATTTCTGTCCCACCTTTCTCAGCCCGAAGGTGACTCAAGGCAGCTTACAAGTTGGCAGCAATTTGATGCCATAACAATCCACAATATACAGTTAAAACATTTAAAACAACATTATAAAATCCATACAAGAATTATGAAAACATATATATATATAACCAATGTCTTCCTGTTAATCTCATTTTCCAGTAGCATCGTCTAAGCTGTTCCATCTTTCAATCTTACATAATTCAATGTTTATCTATTACACTGCATTTCCAAAGGCTTGTTTTAAAGAGCCAGGTTTTTACTTTTTTCCAAAAAGTCAGGAGGGAGGGGGCTGATCTAATCTCTCTAGGGAGGGAGTTCCACAGCTGAGGGGCCAACACTGAGAAGGCCCTGTCTCTGGTCCCCGCCAGATGTGCCTGAGAAGAAGGCGGGATCAAGAGCAGGGCCTCCCCAGATGATCTTAGATTCCTAAATGGTTCATAGGGAGAGATACGTTCGGACAGGTAAGCTCAACTTAGATACTCTAGATGACAAATTCCACTCTGATATCTTCAGCGAAGCAGAGAGGTGTGTTTTACAAAAGCATATACATAGTTTTCTCACAAGTGAAATGACTTAATTGAATCAAAGTTCTCTATTTGATGGGAGTTTTTATTACTGTTGTTAATTGCCATCAACTTGGCTTTCACATCTGGTGACCCTGTGAATGAGACCTCCAAGACAGGTCACAAGATCCCTGCTGTGATCTTGCAGAGCTCACTTGTAATGGAAAGAGGAGACCATATGAAAATTCTGAGTGTGATAAGTGATAGTTCAGTCTGAGAACCAAACCAGCTATTAGGTGATTGATATAGGCTCTATAGCAGGGGTCCTCAAACTAAGGCCCGAGGGCCGAATGCGGCCCTCCAAGGTCATTTACCCGGCCCTCGCTCAGGGTCAACCTAAGCATGAAACTACTTGAAAGCACACAATAACAACAACAATCCTATCTCATCAGCCGAAAACAGGCCCACATTTTCTATTGAAATACTAATAAGTTTATATTTGTTAAAATTGTTCTTAATTTTAATTATTGTATTTACCGATACAATGTTTTTGGCACTATAAATAAGATATGTGCAGTGTGCATAGGAATTCATTCATTTTTTTTCCAATTATAATCCGGCCCGCCAATAGTTTGAGGGACTGTGACCTGGCCCTCTGTTTAAAAAGTTTGAGGACCCCTGCTCTATAGCGTTTAATGCAGTGGGGCACAGACTTCTTAATGTTCTGTCATATCAGAGAAAGTTAAAGGGCTTCAGACTAGAAGTGCATTAATTGGAAAACCTTTTCTTCTGTAGCTGTTTATCTGTTCCTGTAGCTTATGACAAAAACCCGTGGCTTATTTTCAGGGCTATCTGCATGCGTTAGAATCCATATAGAGCTTTGAAACCTTACATTTTTGGACTACATCTCCTATAACCCAATCAACCAGTATCTGAGCCTTCTGACTCAAGCCTTGAGTCTGTATTGCCACATGTGTTATGTGTTGTCTTCAGTTAGAATACATTAACGTGGGCTGCAGCCCACTGTTACTCAGTTCGTTACTCTCCATAAGGGTTTTGGTTTTTGCTATGACAAACTAATATGGTACCCTTCTGGAAGTTTGAGTTAAAAAACAGAGCAACTACAGTAACATCACATTTCTGCAGCCTGTTTTCATTATCAGTTAACTTTTAATACTTATGTGGCTTTATATGAATAGCTAGTCAATCATTATGCTTAAGAAAGAAGGGGGAAATTTAGATATAATCAGCTGTTGCGTTTCCTTCTTCTCAGGTGCTCTTGTTTTGGGGGAACCAATTGCGGCCAGCGTCGGAACAGACGGTACACATTACTGGAGCAAAAATTGGGCAAAGGCTGCAGCATTTGTAACCTCACCGCCTCTGAGTTTGGATCCTACAACACCTGACCATTTGACCTCACTTTTAGCATGGTAATTTTTGTACTAATTCACATTATATAAGCAAAAAGAAACAAAATTCAGTAATCGTTGTTGTGTGCCATCAAATTGTTTCCAAGTTATTGTGACCTTAACATGAATATGTGTTTCTATGTCTTTATAACTATGTTCTGACGTTATTTATTTGATTGTCTATGATTTGATGTGTTCTGTTATGTTTTTCCTGCACTTAATGTTTGCCAATTTTTGTTGTAAATCATCCCGAGTCCCTTCGCGGAGATAGGTTGAGATAGAAATAAAGATTTATTATTATTATTATTATTATTATTATTGGGGATTTGAACCATTAATGGGGATTTCGAACATATTTGTAGTCCAAGGCTCAAACCACTACACACTCAAGAATGATTCATGATGCTCTGGTGGTAGGGAGCTGATCCTCTCCTGGCAGTGAAACACAGCACAGCAAGCTTTGGTGATGAGACTCACACGGTTCTTGCCATTGTTTGTTGCCACATGCCTCACTAGGAGGGCAGGGCATGGCAGGGCCCCACTTTCATAGTGACCCATCTGAGAGGGCTGTTTGGCTTTAAAAATAGATTTGGGAGCACTCTTAGTCTTTGCAATGATGCGAGAATCATAAATGTGAATTCCAGTCATTACACTTTTTTTTTAATCTTATAACATCATAAATACTGGACAGGTTGCCAGCAATTATTTACTTTATAGTCAGATTAAACATCATGTTGAACATCTTAATGCAGTTTATTCCGTTGTCAGTGATATGGTAAATCCAGCATGTCTTTTATTCTAGTAGTTATCCAAGGTGCTGAACTCTGTCCCCAAAAGGGGCCTGGCACATTGGATAGCCCTTTTAGTATTGGTATTGAAGTCCAAACAACTGGAGGACCAAAGGTTAGGAACTACTGCTGTAGAAGGATTGGAGGGAGGGGTTCTCTCTTACTCTTTTTCTATCTAAAATCACCCACAGCTGTTTCTCACCAATGGTACTAAAAGCAGGAGGTGTCTGGAACTTTCCCTTCTTGATGGGGAATTTAGCTTTTAAGAGAGAGAGAGAGAAGGATACCATGGATACTTGCTTTCTGTTTAATGTACAGATTTTCCCTTTGTGGGGTTAAATTGTAGAATCTAATCTTAAAATAGCAATATGTTTAGACACTTATTGCTTTGGTTTTATTATACTTTCATTCAAATCAAATCGAGCCGCAGGGAGAGGAAGAAATAAAAGTATTATTATTATTATTATTATTATTAGAAATAAAATCACTTACAAATATTTCAAGAAACAATAATTTGAAGAGTACCTTCATGTGAGTATGTAAGCAGAATTGAGAAACCCCAGAGTATGTGTTTTTGAGCAAATGCTGTAAAGTATCATGTAATTTTATGTAATTTTAATTAATATCACTGTTTAATTGTTATGTAATGGATTTTATATTGCTGTTTTATATTGTTGTTTTGATACTGTTGGCATAGAATTGTTGCCTGCGTTAGCCGCCCTGAGTCCCGTCCCCCCCCCCGGGGGTGAGATGGCGGGGTAGAAATGGTCATAATAATAATAATAATAATAATAATAATAATAATAATAATAATAATAATAATAATGTCTCCTCCATCATCTTAAAATTGTTTAAATATTTCATGTGTTCATTCTTTCAGTGGTGACTTGCAGGCAACTGGGAGTGCCCATTGTACTTATAGCACAGCCCAGAAGGCTGTTGGAAAGGACAATTTCACTCTGATTCCAGAGGGAGTTAATGGGATTGAAGAAAGAATGACTGTTGTCTGGGACAAGTGCATAGTAAGTAAAAAAATAAAACAAACATTACAGTTTAATCACTGTATTAATTTATTACATACATTTCTATCCCACCCTTCTCCCCACAAGGGGACTTAGATAAGTCTAAACGAAAGCCACAAGCCATTAAAATCAATGTACAGGAGCACTGATTTTCATTTCCAAATTATTCTATAGATTGAAACCAGTTAACAGTGGTATAATAACTTAGTGTGTAAGGGCCTCAGGCAGAATGGCCATTTTAGAAATGGTTCCAGCGGCCTAGTGGCAGTGGGTTTAAATTGAAATTGAAGGCTTATAACTGGCATCCATTTGGAATTGAATATCGTGGCATTTCCACTTTTCCTTGTATGTTACTCTTTGAGATTTTGGCAAAAAAAATATTTTGCAATCATTCCTGTTGGATGTGGAAGGAGTGTGAAGAACCCTGAAGTCATCTTGCATGAATCTATTTTACTAAGGTTATGGGCATGTTGGGGAGGCAGCAGAAACAGGAAGCAGTGCTTTTAAAAAAATGAATTTGATTGAGAACAATACTGGATTTAATCATATGAGGAACCATTGGCAAGAAAGCTATTTGTTTATGTAGTGTTTCCATACACAAATATTTCTAAGATTCAAAATGGACAAAGACTATATGACTTTGAATTGAACAAATCATAAACATTCTTCATGCGATTATGGCTTTCCTTAGGTGCACAACCTTTTTTTTGCCAGAAATTCAATGGCAACTCTTTCTTTTAGTTTCATATTCATAGTTCTAATCAGTCAATTGAAAAAGAAAGGACTATATCATTAGTAGATTAAAGTTACCTCTTATCATATCATACATATAGTCCAGTAGCTGTGAAAGAAATAAAAGTTCGAGTGATGGAGGCATTACTTTTTGACCCACCCTTGTATAACACAGCCCAACCAAAGTAAAATTGTCTTGTTTTTTGGCATATTGTTATTGTTGTTGTTGTTGTTGTTGTTGTTATTATTATTATTATTATTATATGTTTATGTATACCTTGCTTTCTCTTTATGCAAGAGAGGCTAAAAGTAGCTCACAATAAAACCAAATGAAATGCATTTTAAAACCTAAAAATATACAAATGTTAAAATAGAATTAAATATTAATGGTATTAAAAAGTAAACATGCAAAATTCTTACAGGCTGATTAAAAATGTATTCAAGGCTAAAACCACAGCACTCCCTTGATTTTTTAAAGCCTTTATTTAAAGCCTGACTGAATTTTTTAAAAAAGGTCCTGAGGCTTTTTGGGGCACTGATTCAGAAAATTGCATTGGATAGGCTGCATCAGCTCTAGTTTCTTAGGTGTGGTTATCATGGTTTTCTTTGGGTGATCAGATGGCAATTGGTAGATGACATTTGTTCCCTATCTAAAAACTAGAGCTGATTTGGGGGGGGGGGTCCATTTTTAAAAGATCAACTATACCCAAAATCAGGATTACTATTAGAGGCATTCAAATATGAGCTGGCTGATGTATAATTCAGAGCCAATAGAACTAAAGAGAGCCATCGTTTCCACCCATTGCCTATAAATCCTTATCTCTCACATATGTACATATTATTACATGTTCGTTTTTATTGTATTCATGGAAAATTTGTTGTAGTCTACAGGAAAAATGGATGAAAACCAGTTTGTTGCTGTTACTAGTACCAATGCAGCCAAAATCTTTAATCTGTACCCACGAAAAGGCAGGATTGCTGTGGGTTCCGACGCTGATATTGTCATTTGGGATCCAGAAAAGGATAAGACAATCTCAGCAAAAAGTCACAAATCGGTAAGAGCTCGTTGTTGCTCTTGAGATTGCTTTGAGTTATATTGTTATTAATGGTACAAACTGCTGAAATGTCTTCACTCATGGCAACACAACAGCTATATATATGATCCTTACTGGATATGTCCAGATATGGATGTCATGCTGCTGTCAGGGATACACCGAATCTCTTTGCTACTGGTGGCCTGTAGTCTCATCCCACAGTGGCAGGATTACTTAAATTCCATGCACCCTTTTTGGATCATAGCCAGCTGAAGCCCTGCACACAGCTAGGTTTTAAAGGCTTCTCAATTGTTTTACATGGTTAGGTATTTTGAAATGATAAACATTAGAAAAAGTCATTGTTTGGTTTTGGATTATGAATGCAGTTATTAGAAAATGCATAAAGATATGGGTTAACTACAACTTCCATCATCATCTGTCATTGCCCCCAAACTGCACCAGTAGTTAAAATTGGTCATTATGGATATGTGTGCTGCATTTGGTCCAGATCCATTGACAGCTGGGTTCACAGTACACTTCGCCTATGGTGAATAATAACTTCCATCATCCTGTAATTCCCCCCAAACCCAGCCTGTACTTAAAGTTGGTCATGGTGGGTATGTGTGCCAAATCTGGTCCAGATCCATCATCAGTAGGGTTCACAGTGCACTTTGCATATGAGTGAACTATAACTCCTATTATCCTCTGTCATTGCCCCATAAGGGAGCCCCTGGTGGCACAACGGGTTAAACCCCTGTGCCGGCAGGTCGCAGGTTCGAATCCGGGGAGAGTGCGGATGAGCTCCCTCTATCAGCTCCAGCTCCTCATGCAAGGACAGGAGAGAAGCCTCCCACAAGGATGATAAAACATCAAAACATCCGGGTATCCCCTGGGCAACATCCTTGCAGACGGCCAATTCTCTCATACCAGAAGCGACTTGCCGTTCTCAAGTCGCTCCTTACACGACAAAAAAAAAGTTGCCCCACAAACCCAGCCAGTTCTTAAAGTTGGTCATGGTGGGTATGTGTGCCAAATCTGGTCCAGATCCATCATCATTGGGGTTCATAGTGCATTTTGCATATAAGTGAACTATAACTCCTAACATCCTGTCATTGCCCCACAAACCCAGCCAATTCTTAAAGTTGGTCATGATGGGTATGTGTGCCAAATTTGGTCCTAATCTATTATTGGTGGTTCACAGTACACTTTACATGTGGGTTAGGTATGACCCTCATTGTCCTCTGTCATTTCCCCACCTTCCCCCAAACCCTGCGAGTCTTCAAAGTTGGTCATCTTAGGTATGTATGCATGCTATGTTTAGTCCAGATCCATTGTAGGTGGGATTCACATTATTCTTTGATTGTGGGTGAATGTCATTGGAGGGAGGACCATAGGTGTCTCCTGAGCAGTGGGAGCTATAGTGGTTGTGAAGGCAAGGAGCTTGTCTCTGTAAGTAGACATCCCAGCCACACACATACATATCTTCACTTTTATTATGTGTATAGCTATAGATAAGATATATAGAAATGTATATAGATATAGAAATAGATAAAATAGATAGATATTATATTTTAATTATTTTATTTATCTATTTCAAATATTTTTATATATAAAGGTACATTTTGCTACAATTTCTCATTTTACCTATGCATGGCCACTTTTGAGATACCGCACATTAAAAAAATAACTACTGAACATTAATTCGAATTGAACCCCAAATGTCCTGGATTGACTCCCTTTTTAAATTAAAGAAACATGCTTACTATTTTCTGATTCAAGATAGAATTAATGAATAATGTCTGGAAATTGGAATAAACCACATTTTTTGTTAATGTGCAGGCTGTTGAATACAATATTTTTGAAGGCATGGAATGTCATGGGGCTCCCCTCATAGTCATTAGCCAAGGAAAGATTGTGTTTGAGGATGGAAATCTCCATGTAAGTAAAGGAATGGGGCGTTTTATTCCCCGGAAGCCTTTCCCTGAATACCTTTATCAACGGATCAAAATTAGGAATAAGGTAAGTTTGTATGCATCTTGAAAATCAAAGATACTTACTTTGTTTGTGGTGTCAGTAGTATTTTTTTATTGCTGCTTTAATAACAAAATAACAATGGCTTCAGTAACCATCTACAGTACCATCCTTGTATCCATAGGCCCAATATCAGGAGTGTCATTCATTCATATCTGACAAAATTGTTTGCCCTCCTATTCCTCCTCCTCCTCATTCTTAACACTTATTTGTACTCTGCTTTTCTATAAGGATTGGAAGCTGAAATGGCTCACAGCCTTAATAACTATACAATTTTAAAACCTACAAAATACAACTATTAAGATAGAATTAAATATTACAATTATTTAAACAAGTAAATATTGTTAAAACAATTCCTATCTCTGGGTTGCTGTGAGTTTTCCGGGTTGTCTGGCCATGTTCCAGAAGCATTCTCTTCTAACATTTCACCCACCTCTATGGCAGGCACCCTCGGAGGTTGATAGCCTCAAAAACAGCTTCGTTGCTGCCCACATTACTGTGGAGTAGACCTTCAAACAATTCTTGCTGCTTGCTGAGGTGATAGGAAAATCCCCAAAATGGAATTCCATGTCTATCAGGAATCTTAACTGGATCTATCAGCCTCCATGAGCAGAACATCCTAATTGGTCCCTCGCCTCTACAGAGGTTGTGTGTTCCAGTGAGTCTAAACTTGGTCTGGTAACAATCGGTCCACGACAACAGAATTGTGAGGAGTTTTTCCACATCACATATACCTGCCCAGAAAATAAAGTCCAGAGTGTGCCCATAGCATGAGTAGAGTAAGACATCACTTGGAACAGACCCATGGTTGCCTTTGAGACCATGAAGTCCTGAGCCAATCCCGACATAGCAATTTCAGCATGGATGAAGTAGTTGGTGTTCATATGCGTACGCTGGTCATTCTATGGAATACACATACGATGTACAAAGTTGACAAGCAAATTCCTAAATATCCTCTTTATTTCTTGGATCAATGAAACATCTCGTCTCTAATGATGGCAATGTGTGAAACTCAAGATAAATTATCATAGGAGGAATACATCTCACATTTTATTTTGTGGTGACAAGCATTGCATTCCCACAGTGATGCCAGCACAGGTTGTCTGGGTGGTTGCTGGCCCTCTCCAATAAAACTAGCAAATCGGAGTTTAGAGAGTGCTTTATTCACACTCACTTGCAATTCAATGTCTAGTTCTAGGTATAGACAAGCTGGAATATTCAAAATTATCAACGATCTGGAAATCATGTCCTATGAGGAACACTTTAGGGAGTAGTGCACTTTTAACTTGGCAAAGAGAAGATTGAGAAGTGGCATGATAACCATCTTTAAACAGAAGATGGAGCAAACTTTTTTCTACTGCTTCAGAACTAGGTCACAAACCAATGAATTCAAGTTACAAGAAAAGATAGCCTACCAAAAGATTAGGAAGAATTTTTGACAGTAAGAGTAGTTCAGCAGTTGAATAGACTGCCTCAGAAGGTGATAGATTGTTCATCTTTGGATATCTTTAAGCAGAGATTGGATGATCATCTCTCAGAAGTGCTTCAGTTGCATCTTCTTTCATAATACGGGGTTGAATTTGATAGCCCTTGTTGACCCTTTGAACTCTGTAATCCTAAACCTTGGTATCTGTTCTGACTTGATGAGTGATTTGATGATAAAAGCAATTTGATTCCAAAACTGGCACCACTTTCTCCCAACAGCTCTAGTTTTTGTGATACAGAACATATGCCATATACCACTCTTCAGCTCCCTGAACACATTATACAACGAATTTGGGGACTCTAGTGAATGGGGTGGGAGAGAGGTGAGTCCCTGAAAATTGAGTGGAGACTTCATTCTCAATCCCACTGGTTAGTTCCACCTAGAGTACACCTGCTGAATCAGTTGTTCTCTGGTTATCCAACATGTAGGAAAACCCCACCGATTCAGATCTAGAGGCAACTAACAACATATCCAGGCCACTTTCCACAAACAGAGCCTCTTTATCTAAGGAAGGCAGATCTTGGATCCAATGTTCTGAGTGTAGGAATGTGGCGGTAAAATGTCAAGCTGCTGTAACTATTTTTTCCTTCATGATATTTAGGTAACAGAATTACAAGGTGTTTGCAGAGGAATGTATGATGGACCAGTATATGAAGTCCCCGCAACACCAAAATATGCAACTCCTGCACCTTCAACTAAATCATCTCCTGCCAAAAACCAACCCCCACCAATCAGGAATCTACACCAGTCTAATTTTAGTTTATCAGGTAAAGAAGCATGGTAAATTGTCAGGGAAAAGTCTTTTAAAGTATTCCTTGCTACAAATAATGGAATTGTGCTAAGCCAGCTCTTCCAAATTTGTTATATAATAGACTGCTGCAATATAGATCAGCTATTTTGGACAGGGAAGTTTCCAGCATAAAGATCCTGCTGTGAGGGGAACCTTGTGATGTAATATGCATGGCTCTGGGTATTTGGAGTGAGTGCTGTATGTGTATAACTCTACTGCATAGTCTCAAATATGCAAACCCTGCCCCAATCACTTCAAGTGTCTAATAGAAAATAATTGTATAGAGAAGCTATGCTGTTTTTTAGGAGAAAGTCCACCATTCAATTCATAGTAGTTGCTATATGACCAAATTGTTTCCAACCTAGTTCAACAATGAGACCCCAACACCACACTGGCTAAGATCCAATACTGTTGTATGAAAGCAGAAAACATCCATTTCACATCCATGAAAAGTTACAGCACAGGCTCAGTAGCCAGTATTTAATGAGAGTGAGGAATAGGACAAGGAATGTCTTATAGCTCCTTTCTCTGAGAGTGATATAAAACTCCGGGTCACCATCACAAGTAACTACGCTTAAGCCACCGAGGAGTTCAGGGAGCTGCACGAGCAAGCCATGATGAAACTGGTTTGCAGTCACTCACTCATCAACCAAACCTTGCTGCCCTAACTTACCTTAGCAGTGTCCACTGGTCAAAAAAATGGAGGCAGACATTTCTTGGCACATTAAATGATGACATCCAGTGTGCTACTGAAAAGGAGAATAGGGGAGAACAGAAATCTCTTTCCCCTACATTTCCGATCTCCTTGGCACGCTAGATAGCGTCTGCCTTCATTTTGACGCCTGGTGGTGCCCTAAGATAAGTGAGAGGGGGTCCCAGGGAAAGCAGGAACTGACCCAGTTGATTAGAATGTACCAAAGTTGCTAAATAATCCATAAAGCTCTAGGTCAGTGGTTCTCAACCTGTGGGTGCCCAGATGTTTTGGCCTTCAACTCCCTGAAATCCTAACAGCTAGTAAACTGGCTGGGATTTCTGGGAATTGTAGGCCAAAACACCTGGGGACCCACAGGTTGAGAACCACTGTTCTAGGTTATCCCACAACTTCAGGTAATGTTGGAGCCCCTGGTGGCACAGTTAAACCCCTGTGCCGGCAGGACAAGGTCGCAGGTTTGAACCCAGGGAGAGCAGGATGAGCTCCGTCTATCAGCTCCAGCTCCTCATACGGGGATATGAGAGAACCCTCCCCCAAGAATGATAAAACATCAAAAAACATCTGGGCATCTCCTGGGAAACGTCCTTGCAGACGGCCAATTCTCTCACACCAGAAGCGACTTGCAGTTTCTCAAGTTGCTCCTGACATGACAAAAAAAGGTAATGTTGGTCAATTTTACCCTGCATTAACTTCCTGTGTCATATAATGACCACAGAGCTAGTCTGGCTCCCCTACGAGTTAGATGGCATGTCAAGATGCACCTTTGATCATAATCAGACTTTATTTTTCAAGTGAAACGCATTTTCCAAAATTATGGAAAGATGCAGGAGCTTAGCTTTTCTAAATACTGCTCTCTCTGAATGTTAATAAAATTAAAGTCTAGTGCTTCACTTTGATTTTACATTTGGCTTCCTGTTGTGCAGGTGCTCAGGTAGATGATAACAACCCTCGGCGTACTGGACATCGCATTGTTGCACCTCCCGGTGGCCGCTCCAATATCACCAGTCTTGGATGAGCTGAAGTGGAAGTCTAGAAGCCAAGGATGAAGGAAGGGTCACAGAAAGAAGCTTAGTTCCCTTTTATGTCTGTGTTGTTGGCCTCACTGTTTTCTTTGGTCCTAAGAAGTGGGGAAATTACTTCTTTCCTTTAAAAAAAGGTTTTGCATAGAAAGAGGCCATCATGGTGTAGTGTTTGCTTGGATTAATTGCCCCACAATTGTGCTTTCATATCTGTGTCACCTTAAAGCATGGTGCTTCCATTGTCCTGTTAGTAACTGTTTTAGCTATGTCTCGTGGTTCCTAATGGTTCTTTTCACCCTCTCCTCCCGACCCCCTAACTGTGCTAGACTAGTGGATGCATGATACTAATGCAAGTTGCAGTTTGTGAGCGAGTCTACTTTAGACTGATTGCCAACCATAAACTAGGCTTGATGCCAAGATACACAATTTCACTAAAGAAGGGAAACCATAGACTTTTTAAAAATGCGATAGAATAGGTCAGACTGCTTTCTGTTAATGTAATTCTTAAATTTATTACTGACACAAATAAAAAGCAGTGTTAAAAGCTTCACCAGAAGAAGGCCTAGTGTCCGTGATACACTTTAGTACATTCCAAGTTTGCGTATTTATTTGTTTTTAGGAAGAATGATAATTTAAAAAACTCGGAGTGGATTTTCACATTTGGGCAGTAGTGTTCACTTTTGCATGAATTTTTGGTACTTCCAAACAATTCCAATTGTTGGATTTTAAAAGTTTTTGTACAAAGTTTTATTTCTCCTTTAAAAATCACGTTCTACTTATAATGTATCAAACTACTAGTTGTGGTTCTTTTTTATTATTTTGAGGCGTGTGAAATAAAAGAAAATGAAACAACTATTTTCCTTCTTTTCTTCACAATCAAGATTGTTATTTGATGTCTTTCATGTACACATTACTAAAAGGTGTGGGGTTTTTTTTAGGAAAAGTAAAAATATAGCAAGACTTACAGAAATATGTATTCACAAGCTAACTGAGAGTTATGTAGACAATTGTCAGAAAATGTAGGAAGGAATTTCTTCAGCCAAGTAGGGTTATCTGAAGATAAAAACCTGAGGACACACCTAGTTAGCTGGCAACCTACTGAGAGAACAATGAGTAAAATCAAGTATATAATTGAATTACCTTAATGTTAAACACTGTTGCTTCAATGTATTAGTATAGAATATATGTTCCCATTTCATCTATATAAATAAATATGTAATGTTCGTTTGTGGGATTAACAGAACTCAAAAACCACTGGACGAATTGACACCAAATTTGGGCACAAGACACCTAACAATCCAATGTATACCCTTCACTCAAATTGATTTTGTCATTTGGGAGTTGTAGTTGCTGGGATTTATAGTTCACCTACAATCAAAGAGCATTCTGAACCCCACCAACTATGGAATTGAACCAAACTTGGCACACAGAACTCCCATGACCAACAGAAAATACTGGAAGGGTTTGGTAGGCAGTGTCCTTTGGTTTTGGAGTTGTAGTTCACCTACATCCAGAGATCACTGTGGACACAAGCAATGATGGATCTGAACCAAACTCTACATGAATACTCAATATGCCCAAATGTGAACACTGGTGGAGTTTGGGGAAAATAGAATCTTGACATTTGGGAGTTGTTGCTGCTAGTATTTATGGTTCACCTACAATCACAGAGCATTCTGAACCCCACCAACGATAGAATTGGGCCAAACCATCCACACAGAACTTCCATGTGGGCCACAGCAATGCGTGGCAGGGGACGGCTAGTGCAGCATAAATCCATATACAAATACAAGGGTCTCAAGTGAAAAAGGAAGAAGATATGTGATATCAAACACATACAAGCATGCTGTAGGAAGTGAAGGCAAATAGGACAACCAATGATTATCTGGGCAGAAGTGGTGACCCTTTGGAGCACCTTCCTAACTGCCACTGTGCAGCTACCAAATAATGCGCAGATGCAGTAGGTTAGGACACTCTATAGCACCGTGGTAGAAAGTCATCAGTAGTTTCTCATTCAGTTGGTGGTTCCTTAGGAGTCTCGGGTAGTGCTGGGCCCTCTTCACCAATGCTGCCAAAGAAAAGGTGGAGAGGAGACATGACTGCTATGTTGAAATATATGAAAGGCTGTCATAAGGAAGAGGGCACAGACTAGGACTCAATGGAGCAATGGGTTCAAATGAAAGGAAAGGAGATTCCACATGGACATTAGGAAGAACTTTCTCATTGTAAGCGCTGCTCAACAATGAAACATACTGCTTCGGAGTGTGGTGGAAGCTCTTTCCTTGGAGATTTTTAAGCAGGTGCTGCCTGATCATTTGTCAGGGGTGCTTTGATTGTGTTTTTCCTGCATGATGGGGAGTTGGACTGGATAGTCTGTGGCTGTCATAAGGAAGAAGGAGCAGGCTTGTTTTCTGCAGCCCTAGAAACTACTCCTATATCCCAGGATCTGATCCCAGGTTTTGTTTATCCCAGATTATCTGGCATTTATCTAGGATACACAAAATTTCAGTGTTTTGTTGACATCTCATGCCAGATCAGGAGACACCGGCCTGAAAAATCATCTTGGGGGGGGGGGGGATTCAATACTTCCCCCCAAAAAATCTGGTGATGTGCCCGCTTGTACAGGTGGGATTAAGCCCTCATGGCTGAGTGATGGCAACGGATTCAACCCTAATGTGGCTGATCAGGAGAGGAAACACTTCTCTTCTGTTCCATTGTTTCTTTGGCAGGGTTTGGATTAGATCAGTAGTTCCCAACTTTTTTTTTAACCAGGGACGACTCTCTAACATTAGCACCAAAAGGGTTACAAATTGGTTTTTAAGCAACTTTAGATTTGGTTTGGTTATTTGGGGTGCTAATTCAGAAAATGGCATTGGATAGACCACATCAGCTCTAGCTTCTGATACAGAACATAGGTCATCCAGTAGTTGCCATCTGCTCGCCCACAGAAAACCATATTTAATAATCTAGAGCTGATGTGGTAGTAGTAGTCTTTCGTGGGTAGTCGGCTTCTCTGGTTGTTTCAGCGTTATGAGAGGGTTCTGCAAGGTCAGTCACTCTTGTTGCCACGTGATTTTGAGGCAATGGTATAGTAAAGGTGAAACAGCAGACCTTATTTTCGTMCTTGTGGACCACTGGTGGTCCACGGACCACAAGTTGGGAACCACTGGATTAGGTAGACCAGTGGGAGACAGCCCAGTTTCCACCTGCAGTCCAGGTCAAATCTCCCCCCCCCCCCCCGCCACACACACAGACGCCTTAGGCTTTGTCTGCCGGTTGCCACCAACTTGGTCACTTCCACTATGGGCAAAAGTATGATAGCTGGGACCCAATGCGGAAACAGCGCAGCAAGTGAGAGACACACACTCGTGGCAAGATAGTTCGCCAGAAAGGGGGGGGGGGGGACAAACAGCCAAGCATAGTGCTTAAGGCTATCCAGATATTGTAAGCAAACACGTTCAAATAAGTAATGTCTTTGCTTCTCTAATGCTGACCAGTGTTGCGCAACCAGCATTCCTACTTATCATACTTATGCCACACTATGTTAGCTATTGCTGCTATTGTAAAGCAACTTGGTAGAAAGGTAGGTTATGACAGTGCAAATAATGAAAATAATGAAAATTTGCTTGAGACAGTGCTTGCAGTTCTGGAGGGGCTCTAATTTTTTCTTCTCATAGACTTGGCTTGGGGGTCATAGAATCATAGAGTTGCATTCAAAGCACCCCCAACAGATGGCCATCCAGCCTCTGTTTAAAAGCTTTCAAAGAAGGATCCTCCACCACACTCCGGGGCAGAGTTCCACTGCTGAATGGCTCTCACAGTCAGGAAGTTCTTCCTAATGTTCAGGTGGGATCTCCTTTCTTGTAGTTTGAAGCCATTGAAATGTTGGTTTCTAATATATGTAATTTCTTTATGCTTGTGGGTTAAAAGTATTTTGTGTTTTTTGTCGATGTTGATGTGGAGATTGTGTGGTTTGCCTACTCTGGAACATACAACATAGAATTGTCCTTCTTTAGAGGTCCCTCTCAAATCTATGATACTATATCTCTCTGTGTGTCAATCATATATATCTATATCTATATCTATGGCTGGATGGCTCTTTGTCAGGAGGGCTTTGATTATGTTTTCTTGCCCTGGTGAAGGGAGTTGGACTGGATGGCCTTAAGTGTGGAGAAGAGCAAACCACTGACCACCTGCTGCAATGCAACCTGAGCCCTGCTACATGCACAATGGAGGACCTTCTTGCAGCAACACCAGAAGCACTCCAAGTGGCCAGATACTGGTCAAAGGACATTTAACCAACTACCAAACTCACAAGTTTTGTATTTGTCTGTTTGTTTGCTTTGTTCTGTTAGAAATGTAATATAATGGACTGGTTGCTCTGACACGACAAATAAATAAATAAATAAATAAATGTCTCCTCTCAGCCTTCTCTTCTTCAGTTTTTTTTTTGTCGTGTCAGGAGCAAGTTGCTTCTGGTGTGAGAGAATTGGCCGTCTGCAAGGACGTTGCCCAGGGGACGCCCGATGATTTGATGTTTTTATCATCCTTGTGGAAGACTTCTCTCATGTCCCCGCATGAGGAGCTGGAGCTGATAGAGGGAGCTCATCCGCCTCTCCCGGATTCGAACCTGCGACCTGTCGGTCTTCAGTGCTTTAACCCACAGCGCCACCGGGGGCTCCTTCTTCAGGCTAAACATTTGTTGTTCATTCGTTCAGTCGTCTCCGACTCTTCGTGACCTCATGGACCAGCCCACGCCAGAGCTCCCTGTCGGCCGTTACCACCCCCAGCTCCTTCAAGGTCAGTCCAGTCACTTCAAGGATGCCATCTAGCCAGCTCTTTAAGCCGCTCCTCATAGGGTTTGTTCTCCAGATTTGGTTAACCAGTTAAAATTCATTTGAAGCCCTAATCCGCCCCCTTGGCTACAGGCCCTTGCCCCTGAGGCCACGCCCCCACCAGGCTCTCACGGTGCTTCGCCCTCTTGGCGCGGGCCCCCACGTGGCCAAGAGACAGGCATGGACTGACTTAAACAGCGCGAGAATCCACGCAAAGAACGCTGCTGCTGGGCCTGCTTCACTGGAGGAGACGAGGGGGAGAGCGCGAGGCGGGCTGGGCCCGCGAGGAGGCTGCAAGGCCCCTGCTTTCCCCTCCTCTCTTCTGGAACCTTCTCACTAACTGACTGACTGGGAGGAGGTCCGTCTGCCGGCGGCGGCGCTGTGGAGGTTGAGGGGGCGGGACTTCCGGCACCCAGCGGCGGAAACGGGCCCGCTTCGTCGACTGCGGAGGGGCCGCGCGCCAGGCAGGCAGGCAGGCAAGTAGTCAGGCTCGGCGCTGAGGAGCGAGTAGCCAGGCCTCGCCTCCGGACCCTCTGCCTCGAGGAAGAAGGGAAAGAAGGAGAGAGGGAGACCCGAAGGGACTGCGTTGCCGCCATCATGACCGCCGAGGAAGGCAAGGCCGAGGAGATGAGCGCCGCGCCGGAGGGAGAGGCGGGCACCGACATCACCCCCAAGAGCGACGGGGGCGTCCTCAAGGTAAAGAAGGCCTCAAGGAGGCTCTTCAGAGGGGCGGGGGTCTATTCCACGCGCCGTTTCTCAGCAGAGGAAGAGGAGCCATGCAAACGACTCCTAGCTAAGAAAGGGGGTGGGACAGCAGGAAGTGAGAGAAATCTCCCTCTAGGAAGGGAAACCCAATCCAGGGGAAAAGGTGCCTCCACTGAACCTTCACCACTAATTCTTGTTTCCATAACAATCCAAATTTTTCAAAATCCCATTCTCACAGTGAGGTGATATCTTCTGAACAGGGGCGCAGGCAGCAGAACAACAGGGGTATTAACCCTTTCCTATGCTATTCAAGGC